TCAAGAATCCCCACCTCAAGTTCCAATGCTCCTTGTCACATGATCCCTGTCTCATAGAGGCCATCACTGCAGCTCACACCTCTAGGTAATATTCACCCCACCACACTGCAGTCCAGTCCACTGGAGCATCCTGAACACAAACACCCAACAGGACAAACACAGCGCAAGAGCCTCAGCTCATATCTAGGAGGCTTGTGATGGTTAATTTTAGCTGTCAACTTGTTTGGATTTAGATCACTATGGGACAAAGCTCTGGGCACATCTTTAAGGGATTGCATACATTACATTAACTGTGGTGAGGACACTCACCCACACATGGGCACTGCCTGAGGAAAAAGCGGAAACCCAGATGAGCACAGGTGTTCACTGCTCTGCTTCCTAATTGGAGCCAGGCTCCTGCCACCCTGATGTCCTTTCCAGAAGGGACGGTAAACTGACAAAACCCTTCGTCCCTTGGTTTTTATCATCAGGGTCTTAGTCTCAGAAATAACACAAGTCACTAACACACCTGTGCTCCCATTAGCGGCAAAGTGGCTTGGGCAGAGGACTGCCAATACGAAACCTACTTGATGGTTGAATCTTGACTGTCAACAGGATCAACTAAGAAGCGTACTTTGGGAGGTGTCTGTACGGCTTTCCCAGGAAGGTTGGGCTGAGAAGAGCCTGTCTCTGAGTCGGTGGCACTTTCCAACAAGTGGTCCAGGTACAGAAAGGTTCAGCGAAGGGACAGTGCCTGCCTACTTTCACTCATTGTCACAGGAGTGCCTGTAGCCTCCCTGGCCCTGTTAATGCTGCCGCCTCCACCTGCCATCAGGCTTCCATCTCCTCTGCCTTCCAAGGTGGACGGCACACCCAGGACTCTCCAGGAAACTTCTAGCCCATTGGTGTCAGACTGGGACTGGTGAGGCATCCAGGTTTGCCAGCTGGGCTGCTACTGGGTTCTCAGTCTCCCCATCATGCACACAGCCACTGTTAAATCACCCTGTCACACATGTAAGCCAATCTAAACCCCACTTTAAAATACACATGCATTCTATTGGTGCTGTTCCTCTGGAGAACTGTCAATCATCAGTGCAGAATAAAGCAGCAAACTGTGATGTCATCTAACTTTCCAGCCTTCTCCCCAGCCCTGATACTCACACAGCCCACCACCCACACACAGCACGCCATATCCTGTCCACACACAACTGTCTCCAGGATAGGTGTTCTCAAGCCTCTGCACTTGGGACCTCGCTGTTGACTCTTCTTGGCATGTCGAGCACCAGCTGACAGGTGTCATCTATGAGGAAGCTTTCTAGAACCCCACTGCTTGTATTCCTGCAAACACTAAGTATGCACTCCTCTGCTTCCAGAGCCCCATCAACCCCACTAACTGCAGCGAGGAGTATCCACTGTGGAAAAGACTCAAGATTGATCAATTCAGCCATGCTGACTGTGCAGTTTTAATGTACGTGACCCCCACAAGCTCATAGGGAGTGGCACTATCAGGAGGTGTGGCCTTGTTGGAGGAACTGTGCCACTGGTGGAGACAGGCTTTGAGGTCTCCTATATGCCTAAGATACCAACCAGTGACTTCCTGTTGCCTGCAAGATGTACGACACTCAGCTACTTCTCCAGCACCACGTCTGCTTGCACACCACCATGTCACACCATGATGATAATTGGACTAAACTTCTGAAAATGTAAGCTGACCAAATTAAATATTTTCCCTTCATAAGGATTTCCATGGTCATGGTGTCTCTTCACAGCGATAGAAGCCCAAACTAAGACACTGAGTAACCAGCCATTCAGGACAACTACTTATTTTTACCTCCTCTGTTTTTTGTGTATTGTGACTTTACAAAAGACTTGTCAAAAGGCATGCTATAGATGACATTGTGGCCTTTTCCCTGTACAGGGATGAACTCTGCCTTTTGGTATTTGAGTCCCTTTTACAGGGACAAGAAACACACCCATTATTATGATAAGACGCAAACCAAAGACATGCATGAACCAGGGGGCAGCACTGTGATGAGGCTAATTTGAGAAGTTCTCTTAGTAACAAAATGCAGAATTCCTCAGAATTTGGTAAGGGTGAGTATGCTCACCTCCTACACCTGAACAAGGTCAACATGCTCATCTCCTAGCTGAGCTGGGTTGTTTTTCTCCGAGCCTTGACTTTTAGAGCTTAGTCAGAGGGCTGAGATGTGCTCAGTGATTAGGAGCACTAGCTGGAGCTGCAGAGGACCAAAGCTCAGTTCCCAGCTCCCCAGGGTGGGTTACAACCGACTGTGATTCTATTTGCATGGGGTCCAACATCCACTTCTGGCCCCCGTAGGCACTGCACGTGACACACATAGACATACACAGGCACAGCCCCATGCACGTAGAGTAAAAATAAGTAAAACTGAATTAAAATAAAAGAGCTGAGTCACAGCGGCACAGACTCCGGATTGGAGAATACCCAGGAGTTTTCAGTCACTCTGCCTGAATGAATGTCCCTTCACCATCCCTCATACAGCCCTCACCCTCTGTCTGCCCCTCCTGATAGTAACTTACCATCCCTTCTGCTACAGCAGGCAAATAAGCACACCACACTAATGTAGATAAATAGTCTACCGTGTGCAACAACAGTGCCAGCATTGCGAGCCCTTCCGACCTGCATGGTGCTACACATGAGAATCTTTGTCCAGCACTGGGCAATGAGCAGTGGAGGGGTCCATGTTCATCTGCCTCGAGACACATGAGCTTCACCCAGCCAAAGAAAGCCCCAGGGATCTAATGAAATGACTAAAAACACCCATGCACAAGTGAAGTGTTAAAACAGTAGGGAAAAAAGTCCTGAATAGAAACCACCGCTGCTGTCCTTTGGGCTTTTGATTGTCTGTTCTTCCTGGTACTTGTGATTCAGTTGAGAGACTCACATGGAGCTCTACCATGGAGCTACATTCCCGACCTCTCTTTTCACTTTTTATTTTGAGACTAGGTTTTACTAAGTTGCTCAGATTGACCTCGACCTTGTGATGTTCATGCCTCGACCTTCTGTGTAGCGTGGGAATATAGGCTTGAACCCCAGCCCCAACTGAGCAAAAGGGGTCTTAACTCAAATGCTCACATAGTTGCTGGCAATCAAATATATTAGTGGGCTTTCTATATATCATTTCAAACAAACAAGCAAACAAACAAACAATGCCCCCCACAGCTCTTGCCTATTAACAGAACAAACTTCTCAGCTCTGAATTGACCCAGAATCCCTCATGCATTAGTTTCTGAAAGAGCTTGTATTTTTGAGTATAGAAGACAACTTATGTGTCCTGGGGACCAACTTTTTCAAATGGAACAGGGAAAAATGATTAAATGACCAAATCAACTCCCAGACACCCTATTTTCAGTAGACAAGAGCAAATGAGGGGCTGGTGACTGACAGAAAATGTGCTGTGGGCTGAGGGGAGAGCCGGGCAGGCAGAGGGAAAGGGGAGGTGGAGACTGCCTGAAACACTGGGGAGACCTGTGCCACGTGAGCTTGCTGTCATTGAGAGACAAGGGAGGGGACGGGAGGTCCCACTGTGCTTGCTCTTGGCTGGCTTGTTTGAAGCCAACCCTTCCGCTGTTCTGGGCAAGTGCTGTGCCTGTGAGGACACTTTCTTCTGTTCTTTAAGTGCCCTAATTACTTCCCCATTGGTAAGGGTCAGATAAAGGCCTGCTGCCTTCAGAGGGCCTACTGAGTCTCTGGCAGCTTGCTCCTGTGCAGAATGCCTTCCTTCCTTAGCTGAACGGTGGGGAGGTGTGTCCACAGGAAGAATGCATCTCTGAAGCCCTTTGTGGTGTCTGGAACATCCCCATTCCCCATCCCCCCCAGATTACAATTATTTCCTCAGTGATTTCATAGGTGTTTAGAGTTTATGTGTGTGTGTGTGTGTGTGTGTGTGTGTGTGTGTTTTACTATAATTATTATTCCTGTTGAAGCTCAAAGATATTTAGTGGTCCCTTGGGGCCAACAGGCTACATTCAATCTTGACCAATTAGTTACTATGAAATGTAAATACCATGCTGAGCAAGGCTATCTGCACTCTGGGCAACAGAGTGAGCGCACAGTGTTACCACAGAGAGAATGACAGAGGTTCCAGACCCATCCTAAGAAAGTGGACCTGTGAATGAGGAACCTGAACAAATGGCCTGACATTTTGGCGAATTAGAATAAGCTGCTTAAAGCTGGGAGATTTGAGGGAAATTGCAGGAAAGGCTGGCACACATCCCAATGACTGGCAAGAGTAAATGAGCGTGCTGATCATTATTTCACACCACGGATTATTATGACACGCGACTGCCAAAAATCAAAGTCAAAGCCAAGCAGAAATCAGCTCCAGCAGCACAACCTCCCTATAGTTGCCCCCCCCCCCCAGCCCTGTCTCTGGTTGGCTGTGAGCCTGAGAACAGAGGAGAGAATAAATGATTAGGGGGTTAAATTATTGCCTGAAATTGAAATGTTATGTAATGTTGGGGGAGGGGAGCACCAGCAAAGACATGGTTATTTCCCTGGAGCACACTTATGCCCTAAAGACCCACGATGCATTGGAGAACAATGGTCTCTGGGAAGTGCCCTGTTTCTGGAAGCTGAGTGGCACAAATGCCTGGCATGGAAGAGGTTGGCATAGCAACTCTGCATTGGCCACAGTGAGTCACAGAGTTCACAGACGCCGGGCAGAACCACCTGAATGAGTCTGCATCTCTACAGGGTGGATAAGGTGCAGAAATCATTTCTCAGGGTTTTCTTTTGGTGAACACAAACTCTCGGTCTAGTAACTAAAGGCAGATCATTTGCTGAACGAACAGTGTTCATGATTCCAGGAGAGATTTATTCTCTGTACTTTCCCTAAGTAAATAAGAGTACATTCAGGCAGAAGTGAGGTATTTGTCACTGATAATAGATAAAATTCTCCATGAGCTACAAAATGATGTACCTAAAATTGACTGTTAGTGTTTGTTTAAAAACATGCATTCACTAGAAAAGAGCTGTTTACCTGTTGGCAGTAGGTCCCTGGAAATCTGGATAGCTCTTTGAATCACCTGCATTAAAAAATAAAAAAGATCTTTTTAAGTGTATAAGCCAATGAAGAGGCAAATAAATGAATATAAAATGTTATCAAAGAAAGAGCTTGTTCTTAGCTGGCCTACTGCTCTGTGCAATGCTAAGTCCTTTTGTCCAGTGAAATAACAGGGGTGCCCTGGTCACACTTGCCAAGCTCTTGCCCCCTCTCCAACTGGAAGCAAGACCACAAGGGTCATATTCCCCATACACTGTGAAAATACCCTTCCTCGGAGAGCGCCAACTCTCTGATGTGTCTGAGAGCAACGCTGGCCCTTCACAGCTGCTGGGGAGTCTGACCTCTGCCATTGCCCTGTGACTGAGGACCTGTAAGGGGGACATCCTAATCTGAGATGTGACTTACCCCAGCTCTTCTTTCTTTTCAGAAACCAGTCATTTGGCCTCCACTTAAGAAGTCTCATTACAGTCCTCATTGGCCTCTGCCCTATGGGCTGCATATGTACATTTCTTTAACGATCCACTAACTGGCACCGTTACAGCACGGTGCTGCTACAGTCTTTGCTCATATGAAATCCATGTGGAATGGCCTTTTTCTGTAAAATCGTCCCTGGCAAAAGGCTACAGTTGTAAATCCCAGACCCCCGGGTTCCTCCCTGCAAGTGCTCTTCCTCTAGATACTTGGTTCTATCACAAAATTGGTTCTGGCCGGGCGGTAGTGGCGTATGCCTTTAATCCCAGCACTTGGGAGGCAGAGGCAGGCGGATCTCTGTGAGTTCAAGGCCAGCCTGGGCTACCAAGTGAGTTCCAGGAAAGGCGCAAA